ACATGTCATTTAATGAAAGGAGAAAGAACATTTTAAAAGAAAATATGCAGAAAATACCAAGTTTAAACACAACAAAGCCTGATAATTGTATCTTCCCTTTTGTATTTATTTGCTAAGAAATGCAAACATCTTTTCAAAGCACCAAATTGTTTACAGAGTCCCAGACAAATCCATGGAAAAAGAGACGCTGACTGAAAAATGTGTCCTGCAGCCAACGTGAATCGACCTGTCTTTTAACATCAGTGATGGAAAACAGTTTGGAATTCATCTTCAGTGTGAGTTTGAACATCATGTTCCACACAAAGATTAAATGATAGAATACACAGAATATTAAACCAGCCGTTTAAAACAAAGTTAGAAAGAAATTATGATGGACATTTACAATATTTACAGCAGTTAGGGCATTGCCTTTCTCTAAATAGAGACTAAGATGTCTGCCTTGTGAAGAGTAATTAATAAATGCAAAGTGAAGTGTATGACAGAGGAGTTGGTAGATGAATTTGTGCCACAGCCAGAGCTGATCAAGCTCAAGGTGTCTTTATTTCTTCCCATTGGAAAATTAGGTTAATGGCCCAAAACTGTAGTATCAGATCGTTTGTATAAGCAATCTCAATAAGTTGTAGAGTTATCCAATAAAACAATAAAAATATATAATTTGCTTCCATTGTAGTGTGCATAAAGATCAGAAATGATAACATTAGCAAGAAGATTCAACTCTGTTAGCTTGTCTTGGGTCCTTAGCAGCTACAAAGGTAGCTAATGTGTTAGATCCAGTGCTTTTTTCAAGTCTTGGGAAATCATTTCAGAATGTAAAAAAAAAAAAAAAGCACCAGTTGCATGTTTTGTTTTTGGAAAAATAGAGCCGCGGTACATTGGTGGCAGGACATAAGGTCCGATTTTTCTCACATGCATAAGGCTGCATTTTAAAAGTCACCTACTCTACACGCAGAAGGTTTAAATGAACTCATGGTGTCCTTCCATATACAACATATACTTCATTGCTAACTGTGAACCAATCATGGTTTAAAAAATAAAGAATGGATTAAAAATACAGCATAGGAAACTTTTTTGGGGATTGATATGAGCAAATAAAAATGGGTAAAACTAAATATAGCTTTCCCTTCCCCATCATTTCCACAGCCCACTCTTTCCAGTGTTCAGAGAGCACATTCTACTACAGCATGGTCACACAAACAACAACTGCTGGGTTATTTTTGTTTAACTTAGTTATTGGGTTTATGATGCTGGGACAAAAGTTGGGTAGTTTTTAACCATTGGGTAAGAAGATGTAACCCAGTTTGTTGGGTCAGAGAAGAGACCAGAACAGAGAGATCAGATGTCACAGGATATTTTCCACTTGATAGAATAAGAAGTTTAAAGATAGGGAAAATGTTTAGCATAGAATTATTAATTTTACACTAGAGAACCATCTTGTTCACTTAAGGGTATAGTGGAGGATTTTTGCATATTTTTGAAAAGACCCGCGCTCTTCACTTAAAAAAAAAATAATGCATACTGTATGGACAACCCTGTACCCCATGCGGAGAGGGAACGCCTATTAAAGGCATGTGAGAACATGCAAGAGTCCATTTCTCCTCATGCACGCTCTGTTCAAAAGTTGCTGTTTGCATCGCTCATACAAGTTTACTTCCCAAAAGAAGATTTCCAACTTTTCCACTATGTCAGACTCACCAGTAACAGCCATACGTAAACATATCACCAGAATGATTGACAATTAGGAGGACCACTTATTTTGATGATCCACCCAGAAAAATAACATCATCCACTATTCCACTATACCTTTAAGGTAATGTTAGCCTTTTAGTGGCTAAATAGTTGGCACAAGCTAGTGCTGGTAAAATTAAAGATTCCCATTTTGACCAAAAGCTAAATATAAAGAACTCAAAGGAAAAACATATATAGAAAACATATAAAACAAAATAAACAATAAATTCTACCAAACAAAGTAACATAACACAAAAAATGATATATATATATATATATATATATATATATATATATATAAATATATTTTAAAAAATATTTGTTGTATT